ATGGAGTAGCTCCTGTCCATGTACCAGCGCAGGTGTCAAATATTAGCTGAGGAAAACATAACCTCAGGTTAAGGTGGTTTTGGTGTATCTATTCAAATCAGAAAGTCTTTCACAAAAGAGTTTCAAGCTTGAATGCAGGGACCTCCAGATTTCAGATGTGATTGTGAGCTCGGGATCAGATGAGATGTGCCCTCCCTGCCAATTAGATTGTAAAAAAAATGATGGGATTTGTTTTCTGGATAGAATGAAAAAAATGTCTTAAACTTTTGCTTGAGATAAGGATGTGAAGACATAATTAAGGACTACAGGTAGAAGGTGGAAACAACTGTTAGAAGAGGGCATATGGGCCTGATATGTCATGTGCCATTTCGATATTGCTTATATTCGGAGGGCTCGTGCAGTGTGACTTGTGTGTGATGACGACAGTACAATTGTGTGTGTGAATGTGACGTGTGTACATACTGCACACACAATATGGGCTATTAGCTTTGTCAAACTGTGTGTGTAAAATTAACTTATAGCCGTATCTTTAAACTGCCATGCCCACTTCTTAGATAGCACCCGAAGGCATCATAAAAACCATTAAGTTAAAATGTCGGCACAGTGTTGCCTTTGCAATGCCACAAGGGAGTCTTAAAGCATAAATGCATGACTGTATGTTATACAGACGCGAAGCCAGATAAGATTAGAGTTTAACCATGACTGTTTATAATGAAACCAAAGAACACAGAGAGACATAGAAGTGGTGTTGAAATTACAGCGGAGCCGCATATCACTCATCCAAAACCAAATTTATAGTGTGCAGGTAAAGACTAATGTCACTCATCAGTTTTTTTATTTGTGCACTAACTGCTAACATTTCTTTGATGAAATATATCAGCTATGGATGATGCTTATGAAGGGGTTGTACATAAGTTTCTTATCAGAATTCACACTGGATATCAGCCAGAGTTAGGGGTGCTGAGAGAAACTCTGAGAGAAATGCTGTGTGACATTCATGGATTTTGCATTAATTTGAATGGCCAGGATTGTTTATATCAAATAACATTATATACTGTGTACATTATTTGATATGTCAAAGCAGCCACAACAACTACAGGAACACTGAACTAATGCTATGTAGCATATAGTAATAGATGTTAACTAAGACTCAAGTCTGCAGTGTGGTTCATGCACTTCACTGATAAACCTGAGATTTATGCAGAGTTACATTAGGCTTCGTGATCAAATGATCGGTTTTTTGATCCGTGTCTCCACTTCTGTCCATATGCATGACCTTTCTCTTTCTCTGGGGAATACAGTAAGTTTAAGCCTCAAAAAATTAGAGCAAGCTCCAGTTACCAAATATATTTCATTTCATCATCTATATAACCATATAACACATCCTGTTGTACTAATGGCCCACGTGTCACTGTACATTGGCAGTAAATGCAATTACCTTATACTCTAGCTGTAGCTGGCTGGATTGAACTCTCTGGGTCTGTCTGACCATGTGGCCTGACATCTTTAGTTACTTTGATTCAGTGGGACACTCTAAACTCCCTAAAAAACAACAACACCTCAATGTGTTTGTGTGTTATAGGTCCAACCTGCCTTGCCTTGGCTTAATTGGGGCTGCAAAAGAGGGTGTTTCCGTATTATAGATTAATACATATTAATGATACACAACAGATTACAATTCAAACCCAATTCCTACCAGAAATACTAGTTTATTACGCATATAAATCCCAGCAAAAAGAAAGTCATTATATGTTTAATTCCTGTGTCAATGCACGCTATGTATTTTAAAGTTCCTTTGTCCTCAATTTAAAGATTTCTCTGGTGCCTCCTACTGGAAGTATAAAAAGGCATCTCACCCAGGGACAGAATAAACAAATGACAGCACAACAAAAACTGCTAAAAATTTCACTGATTGTCTCATTTTTCTACAAACAAATAAATATACAAAATATGACGTATTTTCTATAATCACATAATAATTCCAGACACAGGGGCTTTAAGTGCTGCTTACCATAGAATCTCTCACTCAAAATATGGCTGTTTGTGCACTAATATAAGTGATACCATGTAATAATCTTTAATTTTTAATTTCTTTTAAAACAATTATAATACTAGAAGAGTGCACTCAATAGAGTACAGATCATTGTGTGTCTGGGGGCACGTGGGTGGAGAAGAGGGAGTGCAGGGGAGGCTGTGTGTCCAGTGTGTACAAATGAGAGTAGGGGAATGAAGAGAACGTTTTTGTGTAAGTTGTCTTATGTAGATGTATGCAACGTTTTTAATAAAAAGTATTTTTTGGATTGTAAAGTATAGTGTACATTTTCTTACTGTTATATACAGTCTGTTTTCTTACACTGCTAGATATAGCCTATGCAATTTTTTTAATTAAGTAGTTTTGTAAAGTGTAGTCTCAATATTGTTTAAGATGCACTGAATAGTGTAATGTCTTGCAAAAGAGCGTCCTGGGTTCGTTACTGGATAAACTTAGTAAGTAAACAATAAACGGGATAATGAGATCAAACTTCTGAATTAGAACATAGTTATTTATTTAGAACATGTTGTAGTAACACACCACACAAAATTAAACCCTTCCCCAACTGCCACTCCCCTCCCAATCAAAAAAGAGTTGAAACAGATGGCGGTGAAGATATAAATTGGGATATTTTCATCTCATATTATGCCCAAATTTAGTGGATCATAACATATTGATTGTGGAATTAATCAGCAGAATATGATTCAAAACCTTTCTGCAGATATCAGTCGGGGTGGGGGAAAAATACATTTTTAGATGCATCGAGATGCTGACAATTCTGAATAGATTCACAAATCGATTTTCAAAATGTTAATTGATAACGTAATGTTAACTTTACTATGAACTATGGTGCACACACAAAATGTGTGTTTGGAGCGCTGATCTGGCTTAAATGCTGCATTAAGCACTTCATTACTTGACCATCACTGTAAGTTGGATGTCTGTTTTAATTTTATTAGCTGACATTTATGGAAGTATATGTGTTTCACGCTGCCTCACCTCAGGGACATGAGTCACGTGCTACTTTACATGTATCGTGTGTGTTAGCATGAGTGTCTGTAGGCACAGTTTGTGTGCTTGTTTGAAGCGACTGAGGTGATATATGATTCACAGCAGTCCACCTGATGACCTCACTTTGTCTAAATGACATAACAGCTGTAACAGCTGCTTCACTTTTGTGTAGGATCTGAGTAGGAGGCAAAGTACTTGGTGTTTAGTCCTATGCTGTGGAACTGTTAATGGGATTGACCTAGATTGGAGTTCTGTCTGTTATGTTGTGCTTGCATATGTGTGTGTTTGTTTGTGTGTGTGTGTGTGTGTGTGTGTGTGTGTGCATGTATTCCAGGTTTGTTTGTTATTTGCTGGAGGTGTCTTATACTTGCAACATGAGGCTTGTAATTGCAAATTTTTTGGTGCAGTCCCATTTCTGGATTTACAAACAGTTTGGTTTTACAAAGTGGTATTTTATGGTAACTTGAGGCAGAATTTTTAAGTCAAGTTGTTCCAGTGAGGATTGCTCTCAAACCAAGTGGTGTATCTCATCATCAGCCAACATAACAAAAGTCCTCGTGAACAAAATGAACTCTCAAGTTTGGTAGTAACGCCTTCTTCTGGCTGTTTCCCATTTTCACTTTCACCAACAAGACCATAGATTTCTCTTTCATTGTATTAATGTTCTATAGTTGAATTCGACACCTTCAGAAATCTAATAACTTTATTTTGTGACAAATTTTCTAGGTGAACCCATATTTGTATTTTAGAAGGTACCATAGGCCTACTATCTTCTGGTGTGACTAATCCACTATTTTTATTATGTTTGAATTTCGCTGTGACCAATTTCTTGTAAATCATATTTGAAGAACATGTATGTGCTACTCTACAGGTTAGTTACACCTGTTTCTGAAATGGTCGTACATTGTGTATTTGAGCTTGACACTTTGCTGTCCACGTGAGGGCGCTAAGGTGCAGCTGATGGATCGGATGAACATTTCTGTGTTCCTCATGGTATTTTTGCTCCAGCCCATCTAGGCATTTCGTCCATGCAGGTCATGCTACAATCTTGCCACGAGATGGGGCTAAAAACTCGCATGTTTTCTGTTACTGTGTGCAGCTGTGCACCTGCTGACAGGTACTGCGTGCGCTTGGAGGAAGTAGGGTGGACAGGTTGATAGACTACAAACACAACAATGTATTTTTGTTTCAGTTTTATTCAATAAGGGCTATGCAAGTGCAGCTCCTGTGCGTAATCGTTATGGTTCGGAGTGATGGAAGGAATAAATGTTGTTTACTGTATGTCTCTCTCTCTCTCCCCCTCCCTGTCTGTCAGTCAGTCTCTTTTGCATAATGCCTGGGAAAACAATCTATTTCTTTTTTTCCCCACGTTTTTTTGCACCTCAACGCCAACTACAGTTAAACTCCAAAATAGTTTTATCTGCAGTACAGTGCACTATATGACACTATCATGAAATGGGGTCAGAGGTAACAATTACGGGGCTATAAAAAACAATTTTTCATGTGCACTGCTTTTAATTAGATTTCCATCAATTGAGCTATTAGTTTGCTAGTATTGTTCTACTGTAATTGTGCCCCTATGTAATCATACGGATATAAAGCCATGCCTTATTAAATAATGCGGTGATACGAGCCAGAAACCTGATTTCTCTAATAAGCTATAGAGAAACTGTGTGAAAGACAACATGTAAATAAAAGTTTCTGACTTGTGATGTCACTGTGTCCACACAGAGAAACTCCCCCATTTGCGCTTTGATCACGGTTGTTGTTCGAATGATTGATGTCTCCCACCATTGCGCGCTGTGGAGAGATGATCATTGAATCCAACGGCATAATAATAGCATCGTTGACAGGGAGTCTCACTCTCTCATGGTCGACCCTGGCTAGTACCTGAACTGCACCTGTGGACTTCATCTTCTCTTGTCATTTACACACGCAACAGAAGCCCCAGACGCACGGGTGCGCGCATCACGGGTGCACTCTCCACCTACTGGGGATCGCATTGTGCTGAGTTGACCGAATAGCTCCTTGTTCTCGGCGGCTTAAATGGGAGCACCTCACACATTTGGACGACTTGCACCTTCTCTTCAGTAACTTTGATGGGGACTTCGATATCAAGCAGGGAAAATGCCTGTGATGAAGGGATTATTAGCGCCACAGAACACGTTTCTGGACACAATAGCCACACGGTTTGATGGCACTCGTAAGTTTGCTTTTAATTCTTTTTTTTTAACACTCAAACATTTATAGCAGCTATAATAGTTTCTGGCGCAAGTTTTTGGCTGTCTTGTATTCTCTGGTTTGTAAGGAGCGTGAGGCTACAGTCTATTTCCTGCCGATCTTCCAGGTGATTAAAAGCCACCTGCAAAAATCAGATAAAGAATAGGGGCTTCTCGGTTTGTTGTCCTTGATGCGAATGGCCTTTTAATTAACTGTACGCATCAGGGCACCAGCTGAGTCGGGCCCGTTTGCTATTAGACTTGAACTTTAAGGTAACTCAAAATTGTTACACGTCTCAGGACCCGACAGAAATGGAAAGCCGGAGAAGCTCCCACAGCAATTAGCTGGCTGAGGCTGTCGCTGTCCGCGGTGCTGAAACCTCAGCACCACAGACAGCTGCAAAGGGTTAACGGGGCTACCACCGGCTCCTTGCTACTGTACACGCCACAAATATTTGGACTTGTTCCCAAGTTGCAGCTTGTGTCATGTATTTGATATATATTTGTGAATACACCTGAATAAATCCAACTTTTTTTTTCAGTTGTCCACACATCATTTCCCTCCGGGGTTAACCTTTATTATCTCTGCTCTTTGGCAGACAAGTCCTCCCGCCGGTCTGAGACCATGCAGCAGTCGCATTTATCAAAATTAATTGGTCGGCGGCGGCATTACATCAAGTCTTTCCCCGGGCTGAGGCACACACGACAACTTTTCTCTGAACTCTTGCCTCTTATCTGAGTTGTCTTCTTTTCTTATAATGAACAGTCTCTATTTCTCTTGGAAGATTCTTAGAAATCCGCAAGGTTTTACAGTTTGCTCCTCTCCCATTCTTTAAGCCTTTCTCTCTTTCTGCCCAGTTTCAAACTTCCAACTCATGTTCAGCCTTTTAAAAGTTTCACCTTAGTCCACTGTGTTTGTTTAGGCGTCTATGCACATCTTCAGGCATTCAGTTTTGCAATGATTGGCTCGGTTTAGAAACTGAGGATACTTTGCACTTTGATTCAGGTAGTTAGGCTACTTTCATGTAGCCTTTATAATGTGTATATTGTTTCCTAATCACTTAGTTTGTATACTGTCAGGAAACTGAAAAATACCCATCACAGATTCCTAAAGCCCAATATAATGTCATTAAATGTTTTGTTTTGTCCAAACAATAGGCCTATCCCAAAACCTAAAGGTATTCAGTCTATACTGTTAAGGCAAAGAAAACATTTGAGAAGCTGAAACCAATGCATTTTTCGCATTGACTATCAAAATAGTTGCCCTTCAATTTTTTGTCAATTAGGCTAATCAATATATCGACTAATCATTACAGCTCTATGTACCAGTGTATCATCTAATTAGAGGGGGAAAGAAACAGCATACCATATTTGAGGTTTGTGCTGTATATTGTTCATTTGTCAAAAACACACACAAACAGAACATTTGTGTCATCATTGGTGTTTCAACATTGCCAAGAAATTGTCACTACAAACTTATTGTTAAAATCCTTATCATAGAACTCATTGATACTGATACATCCTGCATTTGGTGGCTGATTCCAGCCCTGACCTCACTGCTTGGGAAATTATACATATTGTCCATTATGTTCATACCACTCATAGAGGCACAATAATAAACACATCCATCCTTATTTCAGTCCCCATATCTTCAGTTAAGCACCACTGTATAAGTAAGAGCAGGCTATATGTCGATTGGCAACAAACATCCAGTTGCCTGGGCTGAGTTCTGTTCTAACGCAAGGGAATTGGAGAGATACTGTGCCTAGAACAAGTGGCTTGTCTTTGAGCTGCAAGGTAGAGGAAATTAACGTTGGATTTGAACTGCAAGATGGGGCAGGCTAGAGGCAGCGGAGCTTGACGGGACAAATTGGGTCTGATAGCCTAGCCGGGAGCAGATATAAGGGAGATGCTGGGTTCACTGCTATGTGATCCCCTTTGACGTCATCCAAAGCAAAGGCAGGGCAGACCTGCAAACAGTGAGGGTGAAAATGAAAGTAGGGAAGTCTTTAATTTCATATGATTTGTACTCAGAAAAGTTTTTTTTTTATGTTTACTGGTGGTCTTTTAAATGGATTAAACTTTTTAAGTGCTCATAAAGAGAGAGATGTTCAGACAGTTTAAATAAATTGAATATTTAAATAAACTGAGGTGTCCCAAGGCATAACCTAGTAGTTTCAGAGACAGTTAATAACTTGGAACTTTCAGTATAAATTCGGTTAACAGCTGTGAGAAGACACCAAATGCATCACGCCTGCTCATTTAAATAGCTTAATTGAGAGTAGTCGTAAAAGGTTTCAGGCTTAATAATTTTTCCATGTTTGAAGGAACAAGCAGCTTCCCACAGCTGACTTGAGCCGAGTTGCTGTTTATTTTAAACAATGTCATCTCACAGCTCACTTCATGACATGTCTGTGCGCATCATCACTGTGAGCTCTGTCGACTTATTGGTCGACCGACACAGACACCTCTGATCACTGTGTCAGGATCGGTGTGTCTCTGTTTGCCTATACTGTAACTAAAATAACAGAATCTGTCTGGAGCTCTGCTCTGTGAGAGTGCTGTGACACTTTATGTCTATAGCAGTACGCCATCGAGGTGACTTTGCACCTGTCCATCACTGGAGCTGTATTTGGTGCTTGTGCTGCTCATTACAATCACACATTTTCACTTTACCCAGAGTGTAAAAAAACTAATAGTTGCAGCTCTCTATTTTTGTTTGAAAAAAAAAACATGACACCAAAATATATCACAACATTCAAAATAAACCTTTTGCTACATTTTGCTAAAAGCAATTAAAATTATTTAATTTTATTCCTTTTTATCTATGTATAGACCTCTGAATTGAAGTGACGACTGCAGTCTGTTCACCAGTTCAGAATACTTTCTGACTTGACTTTCTGTCATCCAATGATGGCCTCCGATGGAGACTGTATTGGGCTGTCCTGCCAAATCAAGCAGATGGTTTGGTGGTACAGTTGTAGCAGAGGGCTGTGTAAAGTCTCCCAGTGTGTGCTGCATTCTCCCCATCCTGCACCATTCTTTCAGATAACTATTTTCTAGCTTTCAACACACACTAGTTCCACCTCCACAAGGCAGGTAATTACTGTCACAATCACTGCTGCCAACAGCTGTGTGTTGAGTCAGTATGTTTAAGTGTGTATGTGAATGAAAGAGAGAGAGAGGAGATCTGTATATCTGTAAAGAAAGACACATAGGAGGAGAGTAGAGCAAGAAGAAACAAGTTTGCTAGTTTGTGTCACAGAACTTTATGTGAGTATGTGTGTGTGTGTGTGTGTAAGTAAGTGTGTAGCTCTGCGTGTGTGTGTATGTGTGCTCAACTGTCTCTGTCTTAGAGCACAAGGCTAGTAAAGCAGAAGTTTCTCCTCCTCTGATTAACTTTCTTTAAATGCAGCACATCTAATTAAGCTGTTAAAAACGTGGCTGTGGGATCCCACATTGTGATTACCACGTGCTGCCAGGTGAATGTTTAAAAACTCATCTCAGTATCACACACAATAAAAGAAATAAAATACAATAAAAGCTGTCACTATCAGATTCTGCTGTCTCAGGGAAGACAAGAGGATATACTGTTGCTGTCCCTGTGGCTCAGTCTTACCAGCAACCTTATGAACTGCAGGAAGACCCAGGGAGCTAATTACTGAGTATGAGAGACCACAAGCCGCATGCTGACGCACATATATTTCAATAAGGTTTATGAAAGTAAAGCTAACCTGGAGTATTTGTTGTGATTAGCCAGGATTTCACACATCAATGACTCTTTAATTTTCTGTAATAGACAAAGTTTATACAAGTACATTGTTATAGTATCATCTGATTACACTAACTTGTGAGAAGTCAAATCTAATATTTTCCTCAGCTAGAGAATGACTCTGAAAGAAGTAATGCGTGTAGTTATGAGACTGTAAAGGAGTAATCAATCATCATTGACTGTAGTGCTGCAGGGTGCAGAGGGGCTCTCACTTACTGCCAGTGTTTTGGCACTGCTGTTCCTGTTTTCTCCAAAGCCTACTTAATATTGAGAATGTTTTATTTTAGGTCTGTCGTGAACAATGTAAAATACAGAGGACCAATTGAAATCGTGTAGAAGCGCCAGCCCGTTCTGATCACAGCACGTCAAATTATTATTAAACTTCTGAGACGCCCGGGGCTGCTAACTCCAGTGTAACCCATCCGCGTCAGATGATGTAGTATAAAGAACCAAAAGTCAAAGCTGACTTATTTAAAGTTTTAAGTTACATAACGTTACATGACTTATGTACCTACTTATTTCATCCCAAACTATGATCTTTTTTCCAAACCTAACCAAGTATTTTTTGTGCCTAAACCTAATCAAACTGTGACAATTTCACAACATTAACCAAATCTTAAACAGTTGTTTCATGCGTACACTGAAGAGCACCTTGTGCATCAAATACTGGGATGAGAGCATGTTGGAAGTACTTCCATGTGGCACAGTGAAATTCATTAATGCATCCTGGTAAAATAAGTAGTGCTGGAAGCTTGGTGACATAGGGACTACTTGCAGGGCTACTTAAAGCAATCATGTTGTAAATAAAGACAGCTGTACACATGCATTTGTTATTAACTTACATTACTTTTCCCTTTTATTCCACAAAACTCTCGCCAATGTCCGGGAGCCTCTTGCTTGGTTGCTCTCTTTTTCTCTTCTTAGCTTCCTCTGTCAATGTCCTCTTCAGTCTCTTCGCCTCTGCCATTATTTCCGTAGAGGCTGCTGAACCCGGTTATGTTGCCCGCTCCGGCACAACACATTGCCGTTCTCACCAGCTGTTACTTTATGGTAGAAAATTTACATAATGTTGCTTTAAGCTACAGCTGGTGAGCTAACCCGTAACATGCGATCTATACCGCTTGCCATTTCAAAAACACTTATCACACAGCTATTAACGAGTTGTAAAGCTTGCACGCTCACTCACTAACTGGACAAACAGTTAGTTATTCA